TACCTAAGATAAATTGAGTCCTATTTCCTGAACAACTTATAGTTCTTTTGTCAAAATCATTGTAGCGAAACATATGGGTGAAGGTAAGACTCCAGTTAGAAGAAAAGGAAGAGGAAGTGTTAGACCCAGCTAGATCCCTGGGTTGGGAAGATCCCCTGGAGAAGGGATAGGCTACCCACTCCAGCGTTCTTGCCTGGAGAATCCCCATGGACTGAGGAGCCTGGCGGGCTATGGTCCACGGGGTCGCAAAGAGTCGGACACGACTGAGCAACTAAGCACAGCACAGATTTAAAAACAACTTTCAAGGAAGCAGAAATAACCCTTTTCCACTCAACATGCTAAACAACTTTCATTGTACATCCTCATCATATGCTCATTAAGAACAAACAGTATGTCACAATAGAGAACATAGGTAAAGCAGAACTTGACTGCACAGAAAAAGCCAATAATAGATTGCTCCCTCTACCACAAGATAAACCAATGAGACAGCATGTTTAACAACCAGCCGTAATGAACAGTTAAAAATATGGTTACCAGGAGAAGGGGTAAGATTTTAATGCCTATTTTTGAGAAATGTTTCTGAAAAGTTAAAGCTAATTGCTAAACTAATTACACTTCTCTTGAATTTCTTAGACACAAATGATGTGCTTCCAGATTAATTAACTTTACTTCCGAAGAACTGGGAGTGATTCCAAATTTTGACTCTCTGATGACTCAATTTCCACGGAAAATACTCCTTAGAGCTCTGCCCTTGGGCACAAGATGTCAGGGATGCTTTCATAGAGTATAAGTAGACATGCAGAAGAAATAAATCTCTGACTTCGCAGCTGATCTTTTATACTTCAAGATGGTGAAACAGAATTATTTCTGGGCTCTCATAATTTATTTGACAACCCAAAAAACAACCCCCAAAACCAAATAAACCACCCCCCAACAACTCAGTATTGTAATCTCTAGTTCTATTTGCTTGCAATTCTATTTTGCCTAAGAGCAATTGTGTTCTCTCATTGCCTGGGGTGTTGTGATATTTAATAAGACTTTATTTCTAAACTTGAATAGGTTTTTGCTTAATTTCCAAAGCAAATAAATAAAGTTGAAAAGTCCATATGCTGTCTCTGCTAAACCTTCCAAATGTGAACACTAAAATTGGAAGTTCAGTTCACTGGCTAACACCTAAAAAAAAACAAAAAACCCTGTATCCCTTTGGCTCCTTCTGTTATCAAATTCTGCGCTAGATTTTCTGCCCTTAAAAAAAATGGAAAAGCAATCGAATAAATAATCGAGTTACAAAAGCTACTTTTTATGAGCTTTGCTGCTTGGGGGCATATTCTGTTGCCAATGGTGCTTTATTTTAAAAATAAATAAATAAATAAATCTTGCGATTCTGTTTTGGGAACAGGTACAAAAGATGCTATGTTGCCTGTGAATTTTTGTGCCTTGATCTTTCCAACATTCTTTTCATGCTTTACACCAGGTTCACAGTTACTGGATTTAATTTCAACTGCTTAGCTAGGGGCACTATTCCCATTCTTGATTATGAGTAAAGTTTTCCCTGTAGAGCAGGAGAAAGAGAGACACAACTAGCCCGTTCTAGCCGCTGCTGGCAGAGTTTGTGAAAGCGGGACCGGCAGGGAATCAGTCTTTGTCTGAAACAGGAGAGACACTCTGGCTCATTTTCAAGAGGGAACAGCAAACACATAATTAACTGGGGCAGCCATGACCTAGGGCAGATGGCAACACTAGCCCAGCGGGGAGCATGCTGTCGAGAACAAAGATTCTTGCTGGGCAGTACTAATCCTCAGAATTAGGAGGGACTGAGAAGTCTTTCTCAAAAATTATGAGTTTAAATTGCCTTAATTTATCTGAGAATCTAATAGAATACACGCGCGCACACACACACACCATATACTGGGACTGATTGCAAAATATAAATGAAACTTTAACAGCTGGGAGAAAATAATAATGCTGCGGTTCTGCTAATAATTACTAATATTTTTTAGAATTGGCCTAATATTATGCTAAATTCATTGAAATATTATTTGATCCCACATTTGCAATATCTCTGAGGTACATATTATTACTTCCTTTTTAAAAATAAGAAAATTTAATCACAATCAAGCTGAGGAATATGGCCGAGACTACACTGTAAACTGCCAAAGTACCTCAGGGTGAATATCCAGAAAGAAAATGAAGCAGATTCAAAAGTCAAAAAACTTGTTTAGCATCCACTGGAAAATATGCCTAAGTTCAAACCAGAGGAAAAGGTAGATAATTATACAAATGTTCTGCAGACGCCTGGGTAGTCATCTGAGAAAACATTAATAAAGCTGGAGCCTATCCAAATGAAATAGGATAAATTTCAATGAATAAAAGAGATACACTGTAAATTAACACATAAAACAACTCCTAAGAACAAACCAAGAAGTCTTATATAATCTGGAAATGGAGAAAGTTATTCCAACTATTACACAAAATTCCAAAATGATTAAAAACACTTTTAAACATTTTAAAGTTTTTGGTAAAAAATATCAAAAATGTTTCTACAATTCCAAAATGAATTATTTTAAACCACCAAGATACATGTCCTTCCTCTACTCACTGATGTAAACCGATTTGGAAATAAAAAGAAAACCTTTCTCTGTTTCTCCTCCCTAGTGCAGGACAAAGCTGTCTTCCTCTGTTTTGCCATATCCAACTAATTTATGGATCAAGATAATCAGTAGGAACTAATTAGTGTCAATTCATACAACTAGACTTAAAATACCAGAGCTGGAGGAATCTTGGATATTACTGCATCCTACTCATGTTCTCCAGATGAGAAAAAGTGGCAAGTGACCTGCTACAACCAATTAATGCTTACATCACTCACCCAGGGTATTTCTGCTGTTACAGACTGCCTCACGCTAGCAAAGCAGAGAGAACCAGTTTGTAGTTGGGGCAGTAAACTTTGATCTAATAGTTTAACCAGGTAATTATTAGTAACAGCATGTCTCAAGCTTTTTCTTCAAGCCAGAACCCTGGATATACTTTATACACATCAACCTACTCAGTAAAGTGCTGTCTGTCATTATATTCCTATGTGAAAATGGAAACACACACTCAAGGTTACAGCTAGTGAGTCTGGGACCCTGGATTTGAACTCAGGCAATCTTATTCCAAACTCTACCTCTTAACAAAAACCTATGCACTGTAAGTTTGTTGAACACTAGCTGAACATGACCACACCAAGTCCAGTGTCAATCCTTCACACTTCCCAGATGTACCAAAAAAATCTGTTTAGGACAGGAGGCTTGATGTCCTATTCCAATCTAAGGCATATTCAAAGCACTGTTTGCATCTGATCTTCTGGGTACAGATTCCCCTGAACAACTCATGCTCACTGATCTTCCTCTTGTACACTGCTGAGCTATAGTCAGAATCACAAAGGTATCATTTTATTACATCTGTGAGTGAAATGACTTCTGAATGGTTTCACGTGTATTTGGTTTGTTTGGCTCAAATAACTTGTAAACCAATCAAAAAGAAGATTTTGAAGGGGCTTCCCTGGTGGCTCAGTGTTAAGGAATCCACCTGCCAATGAAGGAAACCCGGGTTTGACCCCGGAGAAGGAAATGGCAACTCACTCCAGTATTCTTGCCTAGAAGTCCCATGGACAGAGGATCCTAGCAGGCTACAGTCCATGGGGTCACAAAGAGAAGGACACGACTGAGCGACTCAACAACAACATTTTATATACAATTCTACATTCCCTTAACATCTAGAAAGGCAAAGCCTCAAGAAATATTTGTCAACTGACTGTCTTCTTGACAATCCCAAGTCTATATGCTCCATCTCACGCTCGTGTGCCTTATGCACAAGCTATACACGTGATAACATGCTTCACAGATCAATTTCACCATCTTTTTTCATGAAAGAAATGATCACATATTGAGGTATGGGGAAGTCATTCTGGCTTACACATAAGTTAACTTGGATCTTATGCTAAATAAAAGAGCCTGTTTGTGGCCTATGAAATAAACACTGTGCATCTGCTTTAACTCTGAAAGAAAATGGAACGTTGAGCAGAAGTAAGGAATGTTCAAGTTAAAAATAAAGATTAAACGCTTCCCTTCCTTGAAGCCAATGCTGGAACTCCTTTGATGGTTAAGATTCCCTCCTTTGGTGCCAAGGTTATATTGACTTGCTGTGCCCATGCTGATCTGTTTTTTTGAAATCTTGAAGGAATCTCTCCCTGGTTTGTTTGACTTTCTTGGTTCTGACAATACAAAACTGTGCTGAAAATCATGTATCTCCAAAGCATGACCTCAGAATTATCTGCGGTTCGGTTATCTTCCAGGCTTTGGTACTCAGTTTGGCTCACTGAAACTTCTTTTCTATTCCTATTATAGATTGTTTATTGATTATCTTCACCAACACTTTTATACTCATTACACTTCTGCCCATCCAAGACGTCTTGCCCTGCAAGACAGACAGGAAGCACTATTGTCTCTTCTACTGGACAGTTTTACTCTCCCAACTGACAAAGTTCAAGTCAAGCTGAAATAGTCTTCACTTCTATGCATTCTTATTCCTCATCTTTCTCTCCTCCTCCTGTTATTACTCTAAAGTAATAGACTAGCATTAGGTTTGTCACTGGGATATCTTTTCTATCTTGTAACTTACATTTAACCCTTCATTCTTTTTTTTTTACTTTATTAAATACTGAGTTTATTTCACATGTATATTTTTGTCTCCCCACCATTTCCATCTGTCTGACCACCACTACTACTATTCCTATCATAACATTCCATACATACTTAAAACCAAGCAAAGGGTGGAGTTCCATCTTTAAAAACTAAACAGGCATTTTGGACAACACATTCTTGGCAATGAGGATGTGGACAACATTTATCAGACACGGTAGGGAAAGTTCTCACTCTGCATTATAAAAAGGACAGCCAGATATTAACTGTTACAGAAATGAAATAAGACGGAAAATTTTTAACAAACTGTTTATTTTCTTAAAGAGACTTCCTCCACTGCCAGAGATCTTGAATAGCCTCCTGGTCAGTCATCCAGAAACAATTCTTCACATAATTGATAAACTTGGCTTCCACTTTGGGAAGTGGACCACCTTTTTCTATACTTGCTTGCATTTTTGCTTTAATGTCTTCTACAGAGCTAGGTCCTTTTGGTGTTTTAGGTGTTTTTTCCTGTTTTTTGAAGGATTCTTGACCTTTTGATCTTGGTGTTGATGGTTTTGAGTCTTTTCCATTTTGGTTTGATTTTTGTGCATTTTTGGCTGGAGTATCTCATACAGATTTCTTTACTGGAGCTTTTTCTTCAACTTCCTCATCAAAATCGTCATCATCATCATCGTCTTCATCATCATCATCGTCATCTTCATCAGCAGCAAGCTTTACTTTTTTCTGGGGAACCTTGCTACCACCTCCAGGGGCAGAACGCTTTCCAGATATACTTAGGAGTTTCACATCCTCCTCCTCTTCATCTTCTGACTCTGCATCTTCCTCCACAGCTACTAAGTGCTGTCCACTGATATGCACAGGCCCTGAACCACACTTAAACCGTAAGAACACAGGTGGTGTAATTTCAAAGCCCGCAAGAGAAACCGTTGGCTGTACAGACATTTTCAAAGCTGCCAGTGTTACTTTAATTGGCCTGCCTTCATAATTCATCGCCTCTGCTTCAACAACGTGTGACTCATCCTTTGCTCCAGCCCCTAAACTGACCGTTCTTAAAGATAACTGGTGCTCATTTTCATCATTATCCACCTTTAAGTGATAATCTCTGTCAGCCTTTAGTTCACAACCGAAATGATAGCTCTGGGGCCTCAAGGGGCTCATGTCCATGTCCATTGAATCCTCCATGGGTTGGCGGCACGCACTTATGTGGGAGAGAAGCCGGATGGAATTAAACGACTACTGTTAGAAAGAGCAGCCACGCAGGACGGAATCACACCAGGGCTAACCCTTCATTCTTAGTTTCACCTGAAGAATTTGTTCAATTGGATGTAAGTATATTGAGGGGAGAGGGATGGGTCACAGAGATAGCTATGACAGGGTCTTTGTATTGGGTTGGCCAGAAAGTTCGTTTGAGTTGTTCTATAAAATGTTATGAAGAAATCTGAATGAACTTTTTGACCAACCCAATATATTCATAGGAACGTCATTTGGCTAGCAGAATTTGATGAGTTTGTAATTCACAACTGAAGAACTAAAGTTAAAGCACCTTTATGAGTAAACTGTACTGTTTATAAAATTAATGGAATATTTCTGACAGCTAAATAACTACTAGGCTAAACACTCAAATGCCATGAGGTCCCACATACCACCAAGTCTGTCCATGGATTATCTCAACATTCAGCAGCCAATGAGTCAAGGTGATTTGAGCAGGGAGTTTTCAGAATCTACTCTAACACAATGACTCATGGTGATTCTGATCTTTCAGTGTTTGTGCCTTATAGAACATTAAACATTTTGACCATCTTTCTGGGTATATAATTTCAAAGGAAAGTAAAAAATCAGAGTTCCACGCAGGAAGAGAACAGCTTGATAGCAAGATTTCCAAACAACTTTAAACTGAGAACATAAAACATATTTTCTATGCATTATACAGGAGGAGATTTCATATAAAAAAATAATGAAAGTATATTCCAGAGTGAAAGACCACCTCAGTAGAGAGTGTTCCATATACAAATGGACATCTGTTACCTACAATGTCAGGATTATACAACACGATTGTGGTTGCTGTTCAGTCGCTAAGTAGTGTCCAACTCTTTGTGACTCTGTGAACTGCAGCACACAAGGCTTCCCTATCCTTCACCGTCTCCTGGAGCTTGCTCAAACTCATGTCCATTGAGTTAGTGATGCCATACAATCATCTCATCCTCTGTCGCCCCATCTCCTCTCGCCCTCAATCTTTCCCAGCATCAGGGTTCTTTCCAATGAGTCAGCTCTTCTCATCAGGCGGCCAATGTTTTGGAGTTACAGCGCTAGTCCTTCCAGTGACTATTCAGGAATGATTTCCTTTAGGATTGGTTGGTTTGATCTCCTTTCTGTCCAAGGGACTCTCAAGAGTCTTATTCAGCACCACAGTTCAAAAACACCAATTCTTTGGTGCTCAACCTTCTTTATGGTCCAGCTCTTACCCTGATACATGACTACTGGAAAACCATAACTTTGACTATACAGACCTTTTGTCAGCAAAGTGATATCTCTGCTTTTTAATACACTGTCTAGGTTTGTCACAGCTTTTCTTCCAAGGAGCAAGCGTCTTTTAATTTCATGGCTGCAGTCACTGTCTGCAGTGATTTTGGAGCCCAAGAAAATGAAATCTGACACTGTTTCCACATTTTCCCCATCTACAACATGATGCTCATATGCTAAAGAGGTGCAACAGGCTGACCCTTGACCACAAAACCCATGACCATATTCCCTACCTTTGTACCATCTGACAGATCTCTGTGCCCATCTCCAATCTCAGCCATTCATTTTCTGCACAGATCTCTGCTGAATATACATCACATGCACTTTCAATCTCGACAATTACTGAACTCCCATTGGAGGCTCCCCTCCATTGCTGCTTATTCCAGGTGAGGCTCAACTCTCATTATTTTCCTATTTCTGGTTCTCCACACTAGAATAATAGGTTCAGACCAGGCACACTACTTCTAACAGCTCCTGAGCTTCACATGTAAGACCAAAAACAGAAACATATATGAGTTTATGAGTATTGTGGAGCAAGGGACAGTTAAAGTGCAACTCTTCGCAGCTCAGAACCTGATCATTAAACTCTTTCCCTTCCATAACACTACAGTTCATAGAGAAACCAAGTGGTGCTTTTCTTCAAAGCATGCTTCCTGTTTAAGAAGTGAGACATTTACTATATGCTGGCAATCAATCAAATCCCCGGAAAGGATGACTGAAAGGAATGTCATTAACTTATATCTAAGGGTTTATTTTGCCACTTACTCTTCTTTAAGGGTTTATTATGGGGACTATGCACTGTTCTCTATAGTGGAAGGCCAGCATTTTTACACAGAACTTGAGTGTGTTAACTGTGACCTCCCTATGTTTTTAGGAAGTTGCACCTTAACTGATGCTAGAACCAGGCTAATTGTTTACTCTCGAGTTTTACAGGATCTTTTTTCCTTGGGGAATGGGTGTGGATTGCTGCTGAAATCATAGCACCACCATAGTGGGACCATTCATTGCTGTATTTGGTCTCTTATTGCATTGTATGTGATTTTTCTTTTTTCTATTTGGTCAAGGATATTATCCATAGTGATTATATTACCTTATGCTATCTTACATACTTAAATGTCAATGTACCACTCTCTTTCACAGCACCTATAGGTCACGGGGAAGGATTTGATGAAGAAATGTAAGCTGATTGGCTAGTTCAGTCTTTTAAAAAATATGTTGACTTTTCCTGGTAACGCAGGTGTAATATTGTCGGAAATTGCTCTCAGACCCCTCCGAAGGCATGCTTTTATGCTTGTTCTGTGTCCTGTTTCCCCAGGGAAACCGGGATGCATTTCAGTGAGTTCATTTTTCACTGACATCTTGTCAAGAAAGAGGTCGGATGCTAGCACAGATGAACGCCCTTGGACAGGCCTTTTCACTGTGTCACCAGGAGACTGCCTTTCCTTGACGGCAATTCCTCCCTTTCCTTGAAAAAGAGCATTTTCTGTAGTTACTGCATCAAATACACTACCCACAAAGCACAAATCCTGAGCCACTCATTCAGAACCTCTTGTTGAGAGATTCTGATGGCCCAGATCATATCTTCTCCGATAGACATCATGGGCAGGCAAAGAAAGCTGAGCACTGAAGAACTGATGCTTTTGAACTGTGGTATTGGAGGAGACTCTTGAGAGTCCCTTGGAGTGCAAGGAGATCCAACCAGTCCATTCTAAAGGAGATCAGTCCTGAATATTCATTGGAATGTCTGATGCTGAAGCTGAAGTTCCAATACTTTGGTCACCTGATGCAAAGAACTGACTCATTAGAAAAGATCCTGATGCTGGGAAAGATTGAGGGCAGAAGGAGAGGGGACAGCAGAGGATGAGATAGTTGGGTGGCATCACCGACTCAACGGACATGAGTTTGAGTAAGCTCCAGGAGTTGGTGATGGACAGGGAGGCCTGGCGTGCTGCAGTCCATGGGGTCACAAAGAGTCAGACAAAGAGTCAGACACGACTGAGTGACTGAACTGACAGACTGGGAGACAAACATTAGGAAGGAATCCTGCCTTTCACTGAGTTCACAAGGACTGGACATGAATGAAAGAAGCAACATAGCAAGGCTTCGAGAAGGATCAACTTTAGCTTGAAGTCTATGTGGATCTGATCTTGTCTGTGAGCTAGTTCATATTTGTTTGGTCCACATTTTTTTTGGGGGGGGGATACAGAGATAATAATGCTGATTTAAATTTTTCAGCATGGTTCTTAGAAGATAGTATAACCTCAATATATATTAGATAAATGAAGGAAACGGTGAGTAAAATGGTGAGTTCATATGAGGAAATGATTGCAAACTGCTTTGGGATATACCACACAATAACATTAGCATTAGGAGGCAAATTATTATGTGTGTATAGAAAAAAGTACAAGAGGACCGTAATTAACCAGAACAAGACAGAGATGGCTTCTCTTAAAGGGAGAATGTCTCCTGTATTGAGTGATTACATGGTGCCCTGGTTAGCCCCAACTGACACCTGGAATGTCCATAGCACTCCTAGATCTTATGCTCACTCCATCCACCAGGACACACATACTCAGTGGGGAAACTAAGGCCCTGGAAGATTGAACAGCATGTGTAAGGTCAAATAACCATTTATTCTTTATCTTAGAAAGATCCCCTCCCATAAATCTTGGCCAATTTGAACTTTTTTAGCATTAATTCACTACATTACATATTGTATTTGTAAATTTGTTAATTTTATCTACACTGATACTACAACACTGGTTCCACCAGAAAGGCATTTGTGTTTCAGCAAATGTTTATCACATGCCCTGAAATATATTGGTAGTATTATAGGTGATGCAACACAAACGAAAAACTAAAAATTTAGAAACTGATTTTAGCATATGATAAAATAAGCTATGTATTTTATTTTATTATTTTTTTTAATTAGTTGGAGGCTAATTACTTTACATCATTACAGTAGTTTTTGTCATACATTGAAATGAATTAGCCATGGATTTACATGTATTCCCCATCCCGGTCCCCCCTCCCACCTCCATCTCCACCCGATCCCTCTGGGTCTTCCCAGTGCACCAGGCCCGAGCACTTGTCTCATGCACCCAACCTGGGCTGGTGATCTGTTTCACCCTAGATAATATACATGTTTCGATCTGTTCTCTTGAAACATCCCACCCTCACCTTCTCCCAGAGTCCACAAGTCTGTTCTATACATCTGAGTCTCTTTTTCTGTTTTGCATATAGGGTTATCGTTACCATCTTTCTAAATTCCATATATATGTGTTAGTATACTGTAATGGTCTTTATCTTTCTGGCTTACTTCGCTCTGTATAATGGGCTCCAGTTTCATCCATCTCATTAGAACTGATTCAAATGAATTCTTTTTAATGGCTGAGTAATATTCCATGGTGTATATGTACCACAGCTTTCTCATCCATTCGTCTGCTGATGAGGTACCATTAAGCTATGTATTTTAAAACATGATTATTTAAATGATGATTTCCTTCCTCCAGTTGTAAATTCCCCAACTCTTTCATACTTAAAATACTCCGATTTTTGCTTCAACTGAAATGGCAGCATTAAGTGAGTCAAGAATCTACATTCTTCCTAACCAGGTGAAGAACAGAATTGGAAATCATCCTTTAACCAAGGTTCATTATATG